TCTATCTCTTGGGACTAGCCCCAGGACAGGGAAGGCTTAATAGAAAGAATTACTCATTATAATAGGGGATTAGAGTAATGAAGCATTCACCAGCAAGAGAACTCTAGAAAATATAGAAATAGCAGCAAAAGGAGCTAACCTTATAACTAACCTTTGGGCTGAGAGAGAGAGCGCCCAAGGAAGAACACCTCCAGTCCCTCCCAGTGCTAAGATCCAGACCTTTTTGGAGAGGGCATAGTCCAGCTCGCTGAATCACATAGAAGTCACTGTGGTGCTACGTTTATAAAACTTGCTGAAAATCTGCTCTCTGGAACTTGCTGCAAATCGTCTGTAGGGTTGGGGAAGCTATTATAAGGTAGTGTCTCACATCCACCACAAAACTGCTAGAGTTGGCACTGGAGAAAGCCAGGTGTGCTGCAAGAGCCTGTCGACCAATATTCCAAAAGCAAAACTCTTTTCTTCCTGTAACGTCTCTTTAGCGCCCTCTACTGACAAAGCTTCAGTCCCAGAAGGCAAAGAGAACTGGTTTAAAAGGCCCAGATCTATTTTTGCAGTGCAGTCAAAAAGGGTGAATTTGGAGCTGAGAGGCAATAAATCACAAATGGCACAAGCATCACTTCTGAGATTCCCCTCGTAGATTTTTGTAGTTGGATGTTTACATCTGTCTGAAAGGGCCTTAAAGAAGCTTCTTTCCTCCAGGTTTCACCAGGATGTCACCAAAAGCAACGGAAGAAAAGATGAGCCGGGACAGATTTCACAGCCCTCTTCACTTCCTTTTCCTACAGCCTTTCACCCAGTACCCTTCCTGGGCACGCCGGCCGGGTGCTCCAGCATAGGAAACCTGGACAACAACAGGAAAGTGGGGAGTCAGCCCAGCGCCTGTGGAACGTGGGCTGCTGGCGCCTGAACTCCCCTCAAGGACTCAATTCCCGCAAACCTACCTCCCAGGTCACAAAAGCCTTCGGAGGTCTTCCTATCGCCGGGGCACAGGGAGGAAGGCGCGGGGCGGGCCGGAGGGCGGCGCGCTGTGATTGGACGCCGGGGAGCCCGCCCCCTC